TACATTATAGATGATAGATAGATGATACATTATAGCTGGTAGATAGATAGATGATACGTTATAGATGATAGATAGATGACAGATAGATAACAGATAGATGACACATTATAGGTGATAGATAGATGATACATTATAGATGATAGATAAATAGATGACACATTATAGATGATAGATAGATGATACATTATAGATGATAGATAGGTAGATGACAGATACATTGATTACAGATGATAGATAGATGACAGATAGATGATAGATGATAGATAGATGACAGATAGGTTAGATTAGATTAGACAGATGGAAGGCAGATAGTAGATAGATCTCGATGCCCAGATAGAGAACCTTTTGCTCTGCAGACTTGAGGTCTGAACTTTGCTGTCCCCAGTACTCAACTCGCAGTGGCCACGACAGGAATCTGGTCATTTGCTCTTGAAAGAGGAAGCCCCCAGAACGTGTGTTGGAGCAGGTGCATTTGGGACTTGGCCCCGCGAATGTAAGGGTCAGGGCGTCAGCCCAGGGGAGCAGGCCCCACAGCCGCCCTGGTGACGTTAGCCCGTGGGTGAGCCTTTTGGCCTGGCTCCCCGCGCTGCCCGGGGCAGGGCACGGGGCCTGGACGGGGACCGGGGACCGGGGACAGTCTATCCTTTGAGAGTTGACGTCTATTCCGGCCCCGGGCTGCGTGCTGTGCATTTCGATGTCCGCAGACAGCCCGGCGCCATGCACGGGGCACAGGTTCGTTGGTGCCGCTGCCTTCGTCCTGACACCGTGCTCTTGGGGGCCCACGAGTTGAACTGTTTAAAAGTCCCTGCAGAAGTCCCCGTCCCGAATAGGCGCTCAGACTTTGGACGGCCGTACGCGGGGTCTGCCGCTTGAGTTTCTGTCCTGTGGAGCCGTCAGGGAACCGAGGACGTTTTGGATCCTGAAACGACGCAGTTTCCTGCTGCCGTCTCCGTGGCGGTCCGTGCCTGGGTGTCGACGTCTTGGCGACACGGGGCGTGGGCCGCGTTGACCGGGCGTGACCGCTGCTCTGCACAGCTCCGCCCTCGCAGTCGGGGGGAGAGGGGGGCGTCTTCGTGCAACTCAGGGCGTCGGACGGTGGCTTCCACCCTCCACTTTGTTTTCACCCTAAGAGTCCACGGTTTGGGGGGCCCTTCGGGGACTTGGATGCCAAAGGACAGACGGGGTCACAGCCGTGGGAGTCGGCGGCGCCTGTGTGTGTACATGCATGTTTGTGTCTGTGTACGTGCATGTGCGTGCATGTGTGCGCGTGCGTGTTTGTATCTGTGTGTGCATGCATGTGTGTGCCTGTGCGTGTACGTGCGTGTTTGTGTCTGCGTCTGTGCATGTGCGTGCATGCGTGTGTGCATATGTCTGCGTGTCTCTGTGGGTGGCGTATGCATGGGTGTCTGTGCACATGTGTGCGCATGCATGTGCATGTGTGTGCTCATGTCTGTGTGTGCATGTGCACGTGCATGTGCGTGTGCGCACATGTGTGTGCATGTGCATGTGTGGGTGCGCGTGTGGGTTTGTGTGTGCGTGTGTGTGGGTGCGTGTGCGTGCATGTGCATGTGTGCATGCGTGCGTTTGTGTCTGTGTGTGCATGCATGCATGTGTGTGCATCTGTGCATGTGTGTGCATGTTCATGTGTGTGCGCATGCATGCGTGTGTGCATATGTTTGTGTGTCTCTGTGGGCGGCGTGTGCATGTGTGTCTGTGCACATGTGTGTGCATGCTTGTGCATGTGTGTGCGTGCGTGTGTGTCTGTGTGTGCATGCATGTGTGTGCGTCTGCATGTGCGTGTTTGTGTCTGCGTCTGTGCATGTGTGTGCGTGCTTGTGCATGTGTGTGCGTGCGTGTGTGTCCGTGACAGGCTGGACGTGGAATGTCACCGACAAACACGTGGGAATAGACGGTGCCCCGCACCGCGTGAGGAGCTTGAGAGAGGAGCAGCGATGAGCAGGAATCAACCGCACGGTGCCACGAGACCCTCCAGGAGCGTCACTCTGAGTCTCTCTCTCTATCCACAGTGTCCGACCAGGCGTTTGTCACGCTGGCCACCAATGACGTCTACTGCCAGGGGGCCCTGGTCCTGGGCCAGTCCCTGAGAAACCACAGGGCGACCAGGATGCTGGTGGTGTTGATCACTCCTCAGGTGTCCGGCCTGCTCAGGTAAGACTCGGAGGCGCAGCCGTGTCCCGCTGGCTCTTCCTCCTGTCGAAGCGAGGTCCCCTACGCACGACGAGGTGCCAGGGATGGGACCTCCGGCACTCAGTCTGGGCGTCCGACACGCGTCAAGGGCCCTCGAGCCGTCACCCAAGCGGGGAACGCTGCCGTGCTGTGTGACACAGCTCAGAGGTCTGGCACGCAGCCGCCCGCTGTGACAACTGCAGACATTCCAAAGCCGGCTTGGGGGGCGGGGAGGGGAGTGTGCGGAGCAGCTGTCGTGAAGCAGGCTGAAGGCCGAGGGACTTTGAAAAGCAGCCGCCGGGAACCAAGTTGAAGATGTAAGCCCCAGAGCCGCGACCACACGTTTGGCTCTGTCACGTGTCCCAGCGGGCCGACGAGGACTCTGCCACGCGTCGGGCGTCTGTCCTGCTCTAGGCTTGACCCCTGGGACCACGCGTGTGGTGTTTCCGGTGGCCGTGCATGGTGTTCCATCGTGCCGGTGGCTGCATGTCTGTGTTTGCCGTGAGCCTGTAAAGAGCTCAGCCAGGCGGCTGAGGTGACAGCTCAGAGCGTGGCCGTGTGTCCGTGTGCTCGGTGCTCGGTGAGGCTCAGGAGCACGGTTGTCACGTCAACGCCCCTTGGGCAGTGGGGTGGTACGGCTCACAGCCCAGCTTGCTCTGCGATCTCTGTCCCTCTGAGCTCTGCTCTGCCACCTACTCCCCACGGTGACGGACTGTGAGTTACCTTACGGCGTGTGGTCATCGAGGCTGAGGCGAGGGTCTGAGGAAGGACGGGGAGACTCCGGTGTGGGGGACACTTAGGGGGCACAGCACAGGCCGAGGCTGAGTGGCACTCCCCGTTGGCAGCCAGCCACTTCACGCTGCAGGGGACCCAGCGTCATAGATGGACGTGCCTGCTAGACGGGTGGCCTTGCTCCCTGCCGGGAGCTCAGGACATGGCGGCTGGAGTCAGGGGCTGGCCATCACCAGGCAGGAGTCAGGGTCTGGTTTTTTTTTTTTTGGCATTGAGAACAAACATCATCTGGGGACATGGGGATGCCCCGAATTCGAAGACGGCTTCAGGCAGTGTTGGGAGGACCGGTCCCAGTTAGCGCTGGCTCCGGGGAGTTCCTGTCCTCTCGTTTGTTAAATCGTTAAAGGACAGATAGCAGCTTACCTCATTCAGCTCTCCGGTTTCCGATTTGAAAAGGGGAATTCTGGTCCTAAGCGTGTACTTACTCAGGGGACCGGGGGACCCGCCCCCTCCCGAGGGACCATCGCCGGGAGAGCCGACTTCCCACATCCGGCAGGAGAATTAAAAGCAGCAGGGAGCCTCAGAGAATGGTCTCCGGCTCAGCGTGGGCTCGTCACTCTCAAGTCCACGAGAATAGTGTGCTTGCGACAGAGGGAGACAGAAACGTGGTGGTTTCCGAGAAAGATGGGCTCGTTGAGAAGCAGCAGGGTACGGGGACAGACTGAGCTGAGAAGCAAGTGGCTGTCAGAACAGGGAAAGACCGACATGGGCAGAGGCGCGGAGCGAGTCATGGTCACTAACACGTGAACCCCGTGAGAGAAATCGTGACGTCAGGTCCCGGCAGATGCTGGTGGTGTTGCAGGAGAGGTTTGCAGGGAAGGGATCTTGGAACAGATGCACGAGGGGAGAGGCTCAGAGCCAGTGACCTCGTCTCCACAAGCAGAGACGCATCTGCGGAAAGTGTCCCCACGTTTTGTTTCGCAACCGATGAGGCCGCATTTGAAGGAGCAGCGGAGGAAAGTGAGCCTCGAAATCCAAATAAAAACCCAGAACATGGATAAAATTTGACGCGTTTCTGTCGTGGCAACGGTAAAGAGTTCTGTATCTCTTCGAGACGGATCGAAGCAGGTTCGTCTGCCAAGAGGACACAACACATCTGGATGACGTCAGACTTCTTTACTACGGTGCCCACGGATGCAGAGAAGGCTTCGGCGTTGCAGGCGGGGCTGGCGTCTTATGGGACACGTGACGTCTTTCGCGGTCATTGCGAGGGTCGAGGACTTGTGCGCTGTGGGTCCGGTCGGGACCGTCGGAGGCGGTGACCGTGACTAAAAGCCACCGGGAGACCACCGCCCTTCCGGGCTGCGAGGTGCCAGCGCGAAGTTGGGGGGGGCGAGCCTTCCGCCACGGGGCCCGTGCTCATGGCGTCAAGCAAGTTGCATTGCAAAACCTTCATCGCGCTCCTAGGAATTTGCTTTAGGGAACAGGCGGTGCCGACGCAAAGCATTTGAGAACATAAATTGCAATGGTATTTGTAGCGACGTAGAGCGTGGCTCCCCACCCACCCCCATCGTGAGCGTGTCACGAATTCCGTAAATGGCTGGGCGGAAAGCGGGGGGCGGGGGGAGGGAATTTGTGGCGTGATGGTGCTTTCTTCGAGCTGAAGTGACTCTGAATGCTGTTCGACGGGAAAGCGTGAATACACGTCCGGGAAAACACGACCGAAAGGTGTAAAGAGGTGGCCAGCAGCTCCGACAGCTGTGCGTTAATAGGACTTTTCATCACGGAAATGAAAAGCAGACGGGACGGCGTGGAGGGAACGCACAGCTCACGTCCCGTGTCGCCTCGGACAAGGGGTTTTCGATGGAGTGTCCCGTGAGCATCGCCCTGGTTGAGGTGGTCGACGCAGAAGTTTCAAGACACAATGATCTCGAAAGGAGATGTCCGTATTCAGCCCAGTGAGTGTAACTCGAAAGAAAAAGTAGAGATGCTCGAAATATGCGCAATGCCGGCAATTTTATTTAGACCATGGGGAAAAACGTTGGCTTGACGATGTCCTCGAGCAAAGTGAAATGGGACTCTGAGGAAGCGCAAACCGCATGCACGAGGCCGCGCTGAGAACATAAATTGCAATGGTATTTGTAGCGACGTAGAGCGTGGCTCCCCACCCACCCCCATCGTGAGCGTGTCACGAATTCCGTAAATGGCTGGGCGGAAAGCGGGGGGCGGGGGGAGGGAATTTGTGGCGTGATGGTGCTTTCTTCGAGCTGAAGTGACTCTGAATGCTGTTCGACGAGAAAGCGTGAATACACGTCCGGGAAAACACAACCGAAAGGCATAAAGAGGTGGCCAGCAGCTCCGACAGCTGTGCGGTGATAGGAGTTTTCATCACGGAAATGAAAAGCAGACGGGACGGCGTGGAGGGAATGAACAGCTCACGTCCCGTGTCGCCTCCGAGAAGCGGTTTTCCATGGACTGTCCCGTGAGCATCGCTCTGGTTGAGGCGGTCGACGCAGAACTTTCGAGACACAATGATCTCGAAAGGAGATGTCCGTATTCAGCCCAGTGAGTGTAACTCGAAAGAAAAAGTAGAGATGCTTGAAATGTGCGCAATGCCAGCAATTTTATTTAGACCATGGGGAAAAACGTTGGCTTGACGATGTCCTCGAGCAAAGTGAAATGGGACTCTGAGAAAGCGCAAACGGCATGCACGAGGCCGCGCTGAACGAGTCACTGTCTACACCTGACAGTGAGTCGTACGGGCAGCGGTGCCTGATGATGAAAATGGCCTTGAATTACCACGGCCCACGGCAGCTGATTGGGGAGCAGAGAGCGGGGTAGAGAGGGGGCGTCTGGTGACACCACTGTCCTGTCTGCGGTGACGAGATCGACGACGACTATTTTTACGTGCGGTGGAAAATAGAAGTTTCAACGTGTCTATTGACCGTTGAAAAGCAGTAGCAAAGGAATGTGCAACTTTCGCAGCATCGATGGGCAATGCGTGGCATGGAGAAACCATCTCCTCCGTGCAGTGCAATGTGGGGGACAAACTACGGTAAATATAAGGAAAAAAAAAATCTGTAGGACTCGAGTTAAATATCCCCGTGATCGTGGTGAACGTGAAAAGATTTAAAAATCTTTTTACAAAGAGAGACACTCTCAGCTCGGGAAAATGAGCAGATCATCCAGCTGTCGACGGTACACGGACCATTCTGAGAGTAGAGGCTGCGCGTCTGACCCCGCGTGAGTCTGTTCCGCCGTCGGAGCTGGAGCCCACGCCCTGCCCCGCGCTGCCCCTCGTTCCTGTCTCAGCTGGGACAACACTTCTTTCTTCGTTTACGTATCAGGACCTTGGCCCGTTTTAAGGGAACCGGTTCGTCGTTCCGTGGCATACGTTTCCGTGAGGCTTTGGCTGGTGTTTTCTCGTGGTTAGATGGAGCGCACACGTCTTTTTTGGCTAAAATAAATAAATAAATAAATAAATGATAGTCCGGAGCCTGGACCGCTCCTCGGCGTGTCTTGTCTGCGAGAGTGTGTGATGCTGCCGTGTCCGGTTATTGGTGACATCGACTCGGATCCTTTCGCCACGCGGTGTCTGTGGGGTTTGTTTCCCCACTGTAAAGTTACGATTTTTTTCCCTCTTTTTAACCCATTTCTCATTTAGGAAAAAAAAAAAAAAGCGTGGCTCGCTGCCGGCGTTCATTTAATTTTACATAAATACGCTCTTTGAGGCTGAAGCAAATCTGACTGGTTTTCCATGTGGCAGTAAAATGCACAAGTTCTTGGCGTTATTGCTGAGCGGACGTGGCCTCTCGTCACGGGAATGGACAGATACATCGGATTCATCGGACGCCTCTTCCGCGGTCGACTGTTCGGGAAGGATATGCACGTCACGCGTAGGAATACTGCGTTTTCTAGCAATTTGACATCGTCAGCGATCCGGAATTACTCTGTTTTGTAAATGCAGGTACCGGTACTGAAAACAGCAAGCTATTAAAAAAAAAACAAAACGATGTCGTTTCTTCCTAAAGACCATCGACATACCAGAGCGATGCGGACCGAGTAACGAAAGCGAGACGTTTCGCGGCAGACCTCGGGGTTGAGGTCGCGACCGTGACGTCACACTACACACTGCAGCCAGAAGCGCCCGGCGAGACGTCTCGGGGCCAACGGGAAACGCTGTGATGCGTAACCGTCTTGGGGGACGTAGCATTTGATTCTGGAAACGTGCTGTTTCTCCTCAGCACCTTGACCACCGCGGGGACTGACCGCTGCTGAGTGTGCTGTGCCGTACTTGGCACTGGTGTTCGCCAGGTCACGGCGATGTTCGGTTTTCCCCGTTTACTTCCTCATTCGATTATGACGTCAGCGTTGACCGATGAATATTCGCTGTACCCTTTGGGTTTGCTGTTCCTTGTCACGCTCAAATTCTTTCCGCTTTGGCGACTGGGACCTCTCGTGATGGTCTCCCCGTATCCGTAACGTGCTCCCAGCATTTTTTTCCCCAGCCCTTCGTAAATTTTCTCTCATCGCAAGATATTCTAGGCGATGATGAACGATCCTTTACGCTCAATCGATCGATCAATCAATGGAAGAGAGGCCGTTTTGTCTTGGTAAAAGGCGTTTGTTCACAATTTGAACCTCGGCCGTGCAGGCCGCCAGCAATGTGGCTTTTGAACGCAGAAAGGAAACACTGATAGAGGTTTGAGTGAACGTTGGTTGGTGGGTTTCTGCTCAGCCTGCAGCCCTAAGTGCTGAGGCATTTTGGAAAAAAAAGCTAATAGTAAAAATAAAATGAAATGAAATCGCCTTCCTAAGAATGTGGCTGAGTCCGCCGGTCTCCAGACGCGCCCGTCCGTGTTTCTCACGCTTTCCGAGTCTGCGCTAAAGTCGAGAGCGGGCGACCGGTGGGGACAGGTGTCCCGCCCGCGGCCAACGTTGGCTGACGTGCGGGCGTCCGCGTCCCCCGTCTGCGAAACCCGAAGGGCTTTGCTGTTGCAGGCGCGGGCCCCACGGCGAATCCTCCGCCGTCCTCCCAGAGCCGGGCGCGTGTCTTTCCAGGCTCGTCCTGTCTCGAGTGTTTGACGAGGTCATAGAGGTGAACCTGGTTGACAGCGCGGACGACGTCCACCTGGCCTTCCTCAGGAGACCCGAGCTGGGGGTCACCCTCACCAAGCTGCACTGCTGGACCCTCACGCAGTACGGCAAGTGCGTGTTCCTGGATGCAGACACCCTGGTGAGTACGCCGGGCGGGGTGGGGCGCGCGAGGCTCGGGCGCTACGCAGCGCTGCTGGCCCTTGCTGGCGGATTTCCGCCGGGCGACGTGCATCTGTCCCCCGCCTCTACATTCAGCCCGTCAAAACCAAGTGGGACCTCTCCACGAGCCTGGCACGAGACCCCGCCGAGGACGCGGAGGTCCTCGGAGTCACGTCCCTTCCCCAAGCGCGGTTTCCGATCACACGATTTCGCCGATGCCAAGTAGAACAATGACCAGCAGAAAAGGAATCGTCCCTTGATTGTAGATTGAATCTCGTGGTCCTCATTGGACGGCCGCGGCTGGCTCGTTGGGCTTCGCGCCCCACGTGTCACGTGGGAGAGTGGCCCGAAGCACATGTGCCCACCGTAGGCGCTCTCCAAGACGGCCCTCGGCAAGCCAGAATGTAGATAACAGTTGGCGTTCTGGGGGGGGGTCCGTTCCGGGTTGCGCAGACGGCTCCCTTTCCCCCCAAAGGCACAGTTTAGGGAGCCGACGTGCGTTGCGGGGGCCGGCAGCCGCTCACCACGCTTTCCCGGCCGTCGACAGATGACGTCGCGTTGCTCTGCAGACCTCTCTGTGGCCGGGCGTCCGGGGTTGGGGGTCTCACGTGTGGTCAGGAGAGCTCCATAGAGGGCCGTAAGGACCTGCAGAAGGTCAGCGAGTCTCAGAGGCGCTGTGAGTTCGATGGCTGGGGACCCACCGGACAGCCGTCTTGCTCATGGTGTCCTCCGTGTTATGTGGGATCTTGTGCCACGTAACGACGGGGACGTCCCAGAGCTTGCTTAGGCAGACGTCCACGGGACAGGCTCTAGCTCCTGCGCTAGAAATCTCTGCAGCACGTCACCGCACAGAACAGGAGATCGACTCGCGCCCGGGGCCCGTGGTGCCACGCAGAGAGGCAGGACCCGTGAGATGCCCACGGCTGCGGCCGGCAGAACCTGGCTTGCCGGTGACAGCCAACGCTTTCCTTTGTACATGAGGAGAAAGAGCGCACTCTAGCACAGCCACGCGAAGTCTAGTGTAGTGCAGACAGGAACCGCGGGCGTGCCCATTTGTTGTCCTCATCAAGCGCCAGTGCCGAGCGTGACCGTGTGTGCTGCACTTTGCTACGGCTGGCCGTGTTCACAGCAGCGTAGGGCGTCATATCCCCACGTTACGGTGGCTGTGACTTTACGATGCGCACAAGGTCACCACATTTTCCCACTCCGTTATAATCCTACGGGGCCGTTGGCGGGTCCTCCGTCCGTCGTTGGCCGAAATGTCGTTACGTGGCGCACGACCGTGCAAGCCCCAGATAAAACAGTCGCTCAGGAAACCGGGGAGGGGGGTGGGTTCTGGTCCTTGGACGCCGTCGCCCGTCTTCAAACCCGCCCTGGATTCCTCACTGGAGAACCGGGTGTCACAGAGCTGTTCCCCAGGGTCCCCTGCTGTCCCTGGCCAGGTGCTGAGCAACATCGACGAGCTGTTCGAGCGCAGCGAGCTGTCGGCGGCCCCGGACCCCGGCTGGCCGGACTGCTTCAACAGCGGGGTCTTTGTCTTCCAACCTTCTCTGGAGACGCACAGGCTGCTGCTGCAGCACGCCACCGACCACGGCAGCTTCGACGGTAAGTGCCGAGAAGCTGGACGTGCCTGTCCCTGTGTCCCTGTGCCCCGTCCCCATCACGTCCAGGCGAGGGGGAGGGTGACGCACAGACGTGAAGAAGCTGGTAAGCAGACGCGCCACGAGAGAGCCACGGAAAACATCTTCTGCGGATGGGAGGAACGGCTCCCCGATTCTGCTCACGGGGCGTGCGCTGGCAAATCTTCCCTAAAATGCCAGGCGCTACATTTTTAGCTCGGCGGGCCACGTGGTGTCCGTCACAGAGACTTAACCCCGCAGTTGTATAGGGAACGTAGCCAGTGACGAGCCATGAGCCAGTGAGCGTGGCTGCGTCCCAGGACAGGCTTGTTTACGAAAACAGATGCAGACTGTAGCTGGCCGGCCCCGCATGTAGAATAAAGGGGAACTTTAAAGTGAGCCAAGCAGAAGGCAGATATGGCACGAAACGAGCGTCGATAGACAGGGCCACTGCTAGGATTTTTGTCACGCAGAAGGAAATACTAGACCAATGCAGAATGGGTTCTCGGGAAGGCCGAGGAGTTAACGAAGCCGGCCGAAAAGGGGGAACAGAGGATTTGGGGGGGAGGGCGGTGTCTGATTTCATGATCGATCGTTTGGATTGTGGGTGGGGAATTTTGGGGAGACGACGCACTCTTTAAATGAACGGCGTTAGTCCATGGCATCCGTTAATGATGGCGCGGTAGTCATTAATGGCATTACCGTAAGTGGTCTAAATTCATCGTCGTCAGCGGTGTCCCCATAGACGGTGACTCAGGACCGGCAGTTGATAAAGATTGATGGCAATCGGTAAAGATCGAAGTAATGTCCACGTCTGAGGCGACGACCGTGTTTTGACAGACGGGGAAGAGGGACATGAGGTCGGGAGGGACCTGGGCCGTGCTGGCTTCGGGTGTGGCTTTCCCACGAACCTCGCACGCGGCTGGGGCCTCGCACGGTCCAGCGCTCACGTCCGCGGGTGTCTGTTGTGTCCCCAGGGGCCGATCAGGGCTTATTGAACAGTTTCTTCAGCAGCTGGCCGACGGCCGACATCCGCAAGCACCTGCCCTTCACCTACAACCTGAGCAGCAGCACGGCGTACACCTACAGCCCGGCTTTCAGGCAGTAAGTTCACGGCCGCAGCCCCCTCCCCCCACCCCCAACATCCTTCTGGGGCTGCCGCCGAGGAGCAAGCTCGTCTACTGGAGTCTGTGTCCGCTTCGGGCGTATTCAAAAGGATCGGTCGTTCCCGGGCTCGCACACCGCTTTAAATGATCGGCGCTCACGGCGGCCAGGCGTAAGGGGAGTGGTCCCCAAAGCGTTGCCCAGGGAACCCCTGGGGGTTCCCCCACAGCTCTGTCAAGTGTCTGGGAGTCAAAATGACTCAAAGAAATTAATTCTAAGATTTTTTTTCCCTCTTCTCTCTCTCTCTCTCTCTCTGTCTCTCTGTCTCTGTCTCTCTCTGTCTCTCTCTGTCTCTCTCTCTCTGTCTCTCTCTGTCTCTCTCTCTCTGTCTCTCTCTCTCTCTCTCTCTCTCTCTCCCTCTCTCCTTCTCTCTCTCCCCCATAAGCATACAGACGGGTTTTACAGCAACGGTCTCTGACGTGATACAGTAAGACACTAAATGCGGAGCCAGACACTGCGAACCAGCTGTGTTTCTTAGGATGGGCGGTGTCATTAATTTTTTCACAATTCTTTGAAAATATAGTTATTTTTCAATAGCTCTGCTATCCATCATGAATCACGACGATGAATGGTACAGCCGAACAGTCAGAAACGAACGTTCCCGTCTAATGGGCGGGTTGTTTTTCGAACGCATCGATAGAGACGTTTCCTCATTTCTCAGTTTGCATTTCCGGTGCAGTTAATATGTGTAGACTCTCGGTCCTCGGCGGTTGGTCTTAAGGATGGCTAGAGGTCCCGGAACCAAAATATTTGAGATCCGCTCTAGGTGGCGTTGTCGTAAACAGAAACGGAAACCCGGGGCCGAATCTAGAGGGTGAGCGAGTGTGAAGCGGGCATCTTTAACGGCAGCCGTTGAAAGAGGCAGAAATTGGTTTTTAAGGAGGTAAAAACAGTGCATCCGTTTTCATATGTGAAGCACCCACGGAACGCAGATATGCAGTGTGACTGTGGTGGTTAAAATTTCCTGGGAAGGTGATCGCAGACACAAAAAATGTCCAGGAACGTTCTGGGTGATGAGGGTGGTGATGATAGAGAAACTTTTTTTCGAGGCCGAGAACGGAAAATTCGCAATCTCATAAAAAGCAGCCAAGTTTGTGGTTTGCAGCTTTCATTATCTACTATAAAAGGGAGTATTATTACTTTTTGGTCCCTTTTCTTCAGGAGATGATGATTTGGCCTCGCGTACCATTCGTCTTTACGAGACCGCCGACTTATTTTTCCCGTTTCCAGGACGGTCTCAGTGGGTCACGGCTGTGTCCCTCGGCATCTACACAGTGAAATGGCACCACTCATGTCGATTAATTTTTTTTTTAAGTATGTTTCAGCGAAATATCTGTCGGTCCAACGAGTAGCGATGCCACGCGCGTCCCCAACACGTGAGCCGCACGTCCACACGCCGTGGCCTGTGACGCGGGTCCTCGTGGTGGCCGGGGGGCTTTCCGTGCACGTCCCGCCCCTTTCGAGCAGAAAGCAGAGCCTTTTTTTCCGTGTCCTCCTCAGGTTCGGTTCCAGCGTCAAGGTGGTCCACTTTTTGGGGTCCACGAAGCCTTGGAACTATAAGTACAACCCGCAGAGCGGCTCAGTTCTGGACGGCAGCTGCGGGCCGGTCCCGCAGCACGAGGCGTCCTTCCTCAACCTGTGGTGGGGCATCTACCACGGCAGCGTCCTCCCGCTCTACGGCAGCGTCCGCCACCAGGACCCGCACGTGCCGCCCGCGCGCACGGTACGCGGGACACTCCGCGGGGGCGCCGGGCGCTGGGCGCAGGGGCGGGAATGTAGTCACTCCGCACGGTGACGACACGGCGGTCCCAGGCAGAGCGTGGGTCACGACCGCACCGCCCTGTCACGCACGTGGACCGTACGCCATATGCGATGCCAACGAGACCGCGATTGGAAACTCGAAAGAAAATAGGCAGAGTCGAGAATAAAACAGCAGATAAACGCTCCTTTATTCTGTGTAGACGCTGCTTTTCCGTTTTCTGTGTTTCACGCAGGAGGATGCTGGACAGACAGGCAACTTTTCCTTTTTCCTTTCGGGCTTAAAATAGTGACCGTTTCATGGGCAGAAATGGCGCCGCTGAGAGGCAGGGGGCGGCCACGTAAATCACGCAGAACTTTAAAATTATGGAAATTAGCCGCCCTCAGCAGGGCAAGAGCCGCTCGCAGGTGGATGGTGACGGTGACCGATGACTGTGTCGTCGGACGGACATTTCCCGCTTTAGACCGTCCGTCGACTCTGCCGTTGGAGGGAGCGTCTGAAGAGGGCTTTGAAAAATGGTCGATCGACACCGACTCGGTGTTTTGAGACACGGAACGATAAGCCTACGCTGTGAAGTGTCTGCCCTCGACTTAATGTGCGCACATTCGCCTCGCAAAAGATCTTTTGAAATTTGGTCTCAGGGAACTGTTTCCTGAATTTTTTTTTTTAAACTACCACAGTTACTGACAAATATCAGGAAATGCGGAGCTTGGAAAACTGAAAAGAAGCCGTATTTCTCTGGTGTGTGGTTTGGGTCTGGGGGCGCTAGGGTCTGCTTTTCTGGGGGGACGAAGCATGTCTCTGATCATTCGACACGTGCGAATAGGCGTGATTTGCGTTGACGCCGCCGACTGTGCCGCTGTTTTTAGCCGGGCGGTTTGCAGGCGTCGGGTCTTAGGTGGAACAGAGAGGTACAGTCAGGTGGCTCTGAGAAATGACACCTGGAAACATGGGCCGAGGGTCCTTGTCACTAGAGTGGCAGCGGCTTCCTCAAGGACCAGCTAAGCTGTCACCCTGTCTGTTTCGTGACAGGTGACTTTGTGAGTTGTCATGCTGCCAGGAGGTCTGTAACCCTGGAGGCGTCCTGTCTTGTCACCTAGGGGTCGGGACCTCTCATGCTTGTTCTCCGGGGGCCTGGCTCCGTGCCTGGCCTACTCAGCACATTCATAGGTCACGTACAGGTTTTCGGGGACCGTGTCGCAAATCCGTGTGGCGTTCCTTCGATGGCCTTAACGTTTGGAGAACACGGAAGGCAGGGCTGGGGCTCCGAGGGCACCCGGAGGGGTGCAGAGGTGTAAACAGGACTCACTGAGCGTGTCCGCTTTCCGTCCAGGCACACCTCAGAGGCGTTGGGGAGCCGTGTGCAGATCCAGCAGCCAGAGCCGAGGGGCCGTGTGCAGATTCGGTGCCTGGTGTCGGGGAGCCGTGTGCAAAATCAACAGCAGAGCCTGGCCAGGCTTGGCCCGCTGCGGACCCTTCGGAGCCGCCCGTGGCCGTGGCCGGGACCCCACCCTCGCCTGAGGGAGGCCATTCGGAAGAGGTAAGTCCCCACGTTGCACGCAGGTGTGACAGACAATCAGTCTGTCCTGTCACCGGGGGCCCTGCATTTACTTAGATGGTGGTGCAGCCACTCACTGTGCTGGGTCCCATGGCAACGCCCCGGTCCCAGAACCTGCACACGCTGCCTGACCTGGGAACGGGGACTCGGCGTGGGTGCTTCGGTCCTGGGCGATGTGCGCTGCTCCATAAGATCTGCAAGTGTCTCGTCACGAGGTCGCACACTTGGAAACCACTTAGGTCACGTGGGATTTGAAACCCACGTTTCAAACACGTCAAGGGCCGTGCTACGGGACACGGTCCCGCCTTCTCCAGGCGGCATCTGCAGGAGGCACGCGGCTCTGCCGACGCCCGGACGTGAGCCCAGGGACACGCACGATGGCGGTCTAGCCTCCCCAGCCGGCACGTGTCAGTCTGCAGGGTTCCAAGCCACCCCGTCTGCGATCATTTAGCATAGGAGAGTCCGACGCATGCTGAGAACGGGTGACCAGTCTGATCTACTCATCGGGGGAGCCCAGAACCTTCAGGTCCGAAAGGCCAACCTTCTCTGCCCCTCCAATCTGGCTTTCAGAGAGCTGTCCCCAGCACCCCAGGCTTGGGACGACTTGCATAGGTTAAAATCGGCCCGTCTGCTCATCCCCACTGAGGCTGGATCTGCAGAAGTCGGTGCGCAGAGAACAGAAATCACTAGATTTGCCAAATCGAAGCGAAAAAACACGAAACTCGCCTGTTGTTCTCTGCTGCCGATTTCCGGCGAACGTACTGGACGGATGATCGCTGTTTAGAGATTTCTCATTTTCTGTGCTCACAGCGAGAGGCGCCTGGTCCTCTTTGCTTCTCAGGGGAATCATTATGAGGCCATCGGCCGGCGTGCATGTGCGGGCACCGGATCGAAGGCCATTCGCAGCTTCGGCCTGTGCGACGGCTATTTCTTGTTGACGGTGAACAGCCGAGGAGGCTTAGATTCCAGCCCACGCGTTTGCTGGAAGGCAGACCGCTCAGTGCTATCACACGGAATAAATTGTGTCCAGGCAACTTTGTGCATTAATCGATTTGGAGTCGTGATGTCGCAGTCATCTGACCAAGGTGAACAGACCATCGGTCTTGGGGGCCGAGGCCGGGGGTGGAGAGAGGAAGCTTTTCCCGAGCTCTTTGTTCCTCCCATGGAGAGCGTGACGGATGCACAGTGCGCTCCGCAGGGCCGGATGCGGCCCCCGCACGTGCCAGCCGGCGTGGGTCAAACGGGGGTCAAACATGGGACGGAGCTCATTCCAGGAATGTGAAGAATTTGCCCGTCGAGCTCTCGTGCTGAGGCTCCAGCTGCTCCCGGCTCTGCCACGAGGAGCCACTAGGAGCCGCTGAGAGCCCCGTATTGCAGACAGCTTGGGGTGGTCAGCGTGGGGGCGAAGCACAAGGCATCAAAATGAGTAAGCGCAGAGTCGCTCTAAGCAGCCCGGGAGGCCTGTCTGTGGGCCACGCCCAGGCATTTCAAGCTGGGGAGGGACAGATACAATATCGACAAGAAAAGGTATCTCTGAGACTCGGCGTCACCGTCAGCATCACCGTCTGTCCCATCCCTTAGTCCCACTTGCCCCGTGTCCCCCTTCCCAGCCTGCCGCACTGGGTCGGGCTGATCGGCTGAAAAAGAAAAACCAACTCTCTGTTGCTCGGGGATTTTATTTCACACCCAGCCGCGTCTGCAGGTCACTGTGTGGCATCCTGCCACCCGCCGGCCGATTCTTGCACCGGTGACGCTGCATTTTTTTGAATTTTCTTTCGGGGCGCTGGAACCCAGTGCGGGAAAAACGAAAAGCAGACTCCGTTTTGTTATTCCTGTGTAGAGGCTGCTTCCCGGGGGTGGGGTCGTGGCTGCGTGACATGTCTGCCCGGGTCCTCGGCGCGACGATGTATTTACGATGCACACGTACGTAATAAATATGTATCTTACACACAACTGTATACACTTATCTAACATATATACTTACATATTATATGTGATATATTATATGTGATACATTTATTTTATATTTATTTTACATGTGAAATAAATATATAAGATTTTTCATATATGTGTGTGTATTTTTTTTCTTGTTTTTTGGAGCGGTTCGGTCTTTTTACTCGTGGTTTCGTAGGAGCTAAAAATGGTACAGGCGGCCTCGCCGGTCGCTGAGTCCTTTCGGGCCGTCGAACAGGTCCGTTCCTCTCTACGCTCGGCAGCCACCGCCTCGGGGAGAACTGACCCGTGGCCAGAGCTCAGCGTGTCCCGCAAGGACACCCCTCCCTTCTCCTCGCTGCAACTCCGTCCCCTCGGGCCGGGAGCGCGTGTGGGTCGCCCCTCCCCTCCCTGCGTCCTGCGGCTCTGCGCGGGCCCCTTTCCACCCCGCTGCTTCCAGACCGAGTCCTTCTGCCGTAAAGCTTCTCTCCAGCCTTCAGCCCTGTCTGTGCTTTGAGCCAAGAATAGTCCGTCTTGTTACCAGTTTGCAGCCCTGTCTTTCCAGGTGACCCACATTTCAGCTACTTACCGGGGGAGGCGGGGGGATGGATCGGCGGAACCATTATCATTGTTGGATAAAAATGAGCGGCGTTTGCCAGAGTCGCATTTGATGTCGTGCGTGCGGCAGGGGCACGAGATCCCGCGTGGGCTCCACGCGGCCTCCAGACTCTGTCTCGGAAGGCGGCATGGAAGGCAAGTCGCCGTCCTCTGCTCCTGGGACGCGCGGTGCCACGTCTCGTTTGCATCGTTCCGCGGGTGCCTCAGCTCCCGACGTCCGCCGCGTTCGAATCAGCCCGCGCGTCTCGTTTGCAAATGGTACCGTGACGTTCTCTTCCTGCCGAAGTTCAATCCGTCAGATGCTCACGTCCCCGCGGAGAGCAGCGCGGAAGTTATGCTGTTATCTGACCATTTCTTAGCGAGGAGATAACCCCGCGTTCAAGCCTTTCAGAGGCAGCATTGGCCCAGATGGAATGTATTGACGGCTTCTCCGTTGAGAGAAACGCAGGTGATAGTTTTGACATTTTCCCAAATCCGATTGGACGACTCTTTCTCTGGAGCACCTACTGTGTGCTAGGCGGAGGGACCCATCACATCGCAGCAAATGTCTCTGCTCCACAGTATTAAACAGAGTGAGTCCCCGCGGGAGAAAGTAAGTTATCCACCTCCTTTGACTTGTGAGTGTCACGATTCAAATCTCGCACAGTCCCCTACCCTGGCGGGATCCGGTAAGGAAAAGCTCTATCTTTTGTGGGATGCGTGATTTTAGCTAGAATGGTGCCTTCGTCTTGTTCATCTCTACGTAGAATCCACGTTGTTTCCGTAAACTTTGCGGATCGCGGATGAATCAATGGCATCACTCGCATTGGGCTGCAGAGGGCTGGGGGTTCAGAGAGAGATGTGAGTTCCAATCCCCGTGTGTCACTTGTGACCTGTGGCCTTTGGGACGAGTCTCGCCGCCTGAAAATCACACTTTTCGCCGGGAAGAGCAGGAATCCAGCGAAGATCGAAAGGAAGACGCCACATGCTTCCGAGTGTCGCTCAGAGAGCGGTGAGGACCCCGCCCGATGAAACGGAGCCGCCGGGGTCCCACAGCTCCACGCTTCGGGTACCCGCGCCACGTGGCTCCGCGCCCTCACTGTGAGAACGTCATTCTGCTTGTGGGTTTTACGTACAGGACGGACCTGTGGCAGAAAGCGCTCGCGTGTTCATTTGCGCTTCCGAGTTTATGACGTCGAAAAAAATTAAAGTTAAAAAGACAAAAACCAAGTCCGCGATGACTGCGTTGTCTTCTGTAGTCTCCCTGAATTCAAAAAAAAATTTTTTTCCCGACAGCTGTGGAGCCATGTTTAAGATAAGTCTTCCGGAATCTTGAATTTCATTTTAGTGTCCCCCTAAATTTTCCTTCTCGAATCCATGCTTCTGTTAGCCTGTGTCATTGGATGGTTTCCTGTCGCTGAGGGCACCTGTTCCGTAGGCGTTGGGTATAAGCTAATCGAATTCCTCTCTGAAAAGCGAGCCTTGGTCTCTCCCGGGAGAGCCTGTCGTGTCTCCCTCGTGTAAGAAACGGTGGGTGGCTGGCAGTCAGGCCAGGGGTGCTGACGCACAGCCCCTCCGGAGCCTCTGCAGAAGGCTACAGTGTCACCCGTAAAACCTCATCTTATTTTGCCCGGGGGGAAAAAAAAAGAGCTCTCCGTCCTTCTGGTTAAGGCTCCTGTTTTCGGAAGCTCCCCTCGGACTCACGATGGGATGGTTCTATTTCTAGAAGCCGGCGGATAAAACAGAACGTGGTCCGTCGGACCGGTCCGTGGAACCCAGCCAGGAGCCCCCTGTGGAGGCGACCGGGGACACCGGCCCTCAGGACGCGCTGGAGGTGGGTATCCCGATCGTTCAGCTGTGCGGCGGTCCAGCTGGGCGCCCTCCGCGGGCCCCGGGGGGGGCCGCCCCCACACCCCCGGCGACCCCGGGG